CTCTCTCTCTCTCTCTCTCTCTCTCTCTCTCTCTCTCTCTCTCTCTCTCTTTCACACTGGTTATTCTCTACCTTTACCTATTGGTTATTCTATCTTTCCATATTGGTTAGTCCTCTCTCTCTCTCTCTCTCTCTCTCTCTCTCTCTCTCTCTCTCTCTCTTTCACACTGGTTATTCTCTACCTTTACCTATTGGTTATTCTATCTTTCCATATTGGTTAGTCTCTTTTTACATAGGTTATTCTAGTGTCGGTATTTACGGTACTGTCTATTTATAAAACTGCATTGTGTAGGGTATGTAAAGTTATTCTCTGTCTATACACACGTCTTATTCTCTGGTGTTATTTGCTTCTATATGTGCAAAAGAAACATTAAAGTACTAGTATCTTTACTATCATATATGTGCACACACACACGAACACCAATACACACACATCCAAACACACACACTCACACACTGCAATGTAAATGTATAAGAACTGCATTCCAAGTACGGATATCTCAGCGGTCGTAGGCAGATTTGATACCCTCTCTACCACTAAAATCTAGTCTGGATAAATTCAGTAAAAGTTTCCCTTTTCTCTACCGAAGATCGTCCCTCCTTTCCTTACCCTCCTTGTCCTTTTATGTCTCCGCCTTTTCTACTCTCTTCCAAATGTTTGTGGAATGAAGGTATCACTCGTGATAATTTTTCAACCCTTTATTGATTTTGCTTTTGTTTATGTTGAAAGAAATGTTGTAAAATAATGTTTGCACCTAATAAACCTTTAAAAAAAAAAAAAAAAAAAGAAACATTAGAACTTACCAGACCCTACCAGGAAGAGACACAGACGTGATGAGAACATCTTTCAGAATAAATTGTTATTTCATAAAGCCAATGAAAATGTAACTTTTTTTTTTAAACACAAGAAGTAAATTGTAAATCAATAAGTTTGTCAATTGACGCCCCTAAAGAGTTGACCTTCGCTTATATACCGGACAGTTTTCAATGATATTTACGTTTGTTGGGCAGAAAATCCCACCTTGTTTGAAGTTGGATTTGCAGTAACTAACTTCTGGCTCTTTTAAGTTCAAGAGCATTCATTTTCTCCCAACAAGAACAACTATGAAATGGGCAGATAATATGGACGAAGTCACCGTGGGGGTTCATGACATTTTGTAAATGCTTCGGTTGGTGGCGAGTTTGTGTGAAAATTTTAAGCCTAGCATTCTTTCTTCATAGTCTGTTTAAAGGTGGGCGTGCCTTGGATGTGCTTGTGGTGGGAATGTAGAGTTTAACAATAAAGTCAGACTACGCTTGTTCACTGATGACCCATAGAATACTTGCATTTCTCATTTAAATATGTGTTTGGTCAATAAGGTTTCTTGAGTGTTTTAACATCTGATTCATGTCCGTTTGGGTACGATTTTGTATTCGTAGTTTAAACCTGATTTTAACCCGCTATGTTGTTAACTATATTGCTTATCCTCTATTCATTGAGGGGACGCCCGTGTGCATTGTTGCGCACGTAAAAAAATCCCTTGTCAGTTGGAAATCGAAAAGAGAAGCCTTACCTCGCTGCCTGGCCAAAAATATACTCAAAAGTATTTTAGGATCCTCGCCGGTGCTACAGAGCCTGTGTGCTGTGCTGAGCTTTTTCGGACTCAGACTTGAGTTAGAAGCAGAAGGGAGCGCTTATGGGTTACTATCCGTGTGCCATGATGTTGATCTGTTGTTAAAAACCTCAAATATTCATTGAATATGGAGGACTGGAGAGAGAAATAGAATACAGAATGCTAACAGATTAAATTGCCAGAAAGAGCAACTTTTGGGGTATTAACACATCAACATGCACACAAAAAAAGCAGGGGATAAATGCACTTCTCTTCCCAACTTGATAGTATCAATGTCAAAAAGGACAGTCCTAGGACAACATGAACACACAATTACAACATCTGAGATGAGTTGTGTAAGAAATGTTGCGGGAGAAAAAACAACAAGAATAGACAGTCATCAAGGAAGAACAATAGTAGGCACAGTTCCAGTAGATGAGTTCATATAACAACAAAGAACCTGATGGCCGGGCCATCTGGTCAGAATGGGACCAAAATCAGTCAGCAACAGATTCCCGGGATTCGTTGGTAAGAAACTCACACATGACCAAACCACTAGCAGATCTCTCAACTCATTCCCCTAACCAAAACAAGAAATTGGTTAAAATGTATTAATAGACACCTGTAAACAACAATAATTTGTTTATATAAACCTTTACTGAGTGTAATCTCTGTGTGTGTGTACATGATCTTGCCGTTTGTTTCTGTACTGTACGTATGTGGTAGATGTGTTGCCGTGTGTTTCTGTACTGTACGTCTGTGGTACATATGTTGCCGTGTGTTTCTGTACTGTACGTATGTGGTAGATGTGTTGCCGTGTGTTTCTGTACTGTACGTCTGTGGTACATGTGTTGCCGTGTGTTTCTGTACTGTACGTATGTGGTAGATGTGTTGCCGTGTGTTTCTGTACTGTACGTCTGTGGTACATGTGTTGCCGTGTGTTTCTGTACTGTACGTATGTGGTACATGTGTTGCCGTGTGTACGCCGATCAGTGTTGCGTTAAAAAAATTGTGACACATTAACTGTATTGTAACGTTAACATTCACAAATCAGCAGATTTCCCCTTTAAAATTAAAACATGCGAATTAATTTTGAAGAAATCAAGAAAAAAAAAGTTTAGGAAAGAGTAAAAGGAACAAAAAGCCTCTTCTTAAAGAAAGACATATGAAAGAAACATGAATATTATATTAATTAATTGTTTTTAAAATTATACACACACATACATGCGTACACATATGCGCGAGCACACACACACACGACAAAGAAGAAACAATTGGGGCACAAAACACACAAACTGTAGGAATGACAAAGCAAACCTAGTAACACATATAAGGTTAGTTGCGTATCCTTTACAGCAAGTTGCAGAATCAACCCAAACAGCTCCTGGCTGTTCTGTGATTTTTCTAGGCAAATTTACGTCCAGTAGTTTGCCATTGCTCTCTGGGCGGTCGGCTTTCTTGATACCACCGTCGAAACCAACGCAAGGCGCGTAGACCACAGTTGGGATCGAACCCGACATCCCGGCATTACAAAGCGTTCGCATCGACTTAGCCACAGAGCCGACAGTAACACATGTAGCAACACTAAATTCTAATTTGATAAATCCAAATGATGAAGACGATAATGTAGCACACTCACATTATAATTTAGTAAATCCAAAACGTTAAAGAACTTACGTAGAATGTTTAGCTTTTTATTTAGTATATCTAAATAATAACGGATCTTACGTGGCACGTTTAGTATCTAATTTAGGAAACCCATATATTGAAAAAACTGATGTAGGAGTCTAGGTTCTTCTTTAGGAAACCCATATATTAAAGGATCCAATGTAGCAGGTCTAGGTCCCGATTTAGGAAACCCATATATTAAAGGAACTGATGTAGCACGTCTAGTTTCTAATTTAGGAAACTCATATATTGAAGGAACTGATGTAGCACGTTTAGTTTCTAATTTAGGAAACCGATATATTGAAGGAACTTATGTAGCACGTTTAGTTTCTAATTTAGGAAACCCATATATTTAAGGATCTGATGAAGCACGTTTAGTTTCTAATTTAAGAAACCCATATATTGAAGGAACTGATGTAGCACGTTTAGTTTCTAATTTAGGAAACCCATATATTGAAGGAACTGGTGTAGCACGTTTAGTTTCTAATTTAGGAAACCCATATATTGAAGGAACTGGTGCAGCACGTTCAGTTTCTAGTTGAGTCAATCCCAAAAAATGGAGGATCTCACGTAGCACGTTTAGTTTCTAATTTGACAAGTTTAATTACTTTGGTACCCTGTGAACAACAGATGGAAGATGTATGGAAGAAGTTAAATATAGAATAGCTCAAGCAAAGTAAGCATCTTGTCATTCCTTCGTGAGAAGTGATTTTTCGTTATTTGAAGCCCTACTCTGGTTCTTGCCAGGGGCCGCAATATAGCCCAGATATAAATATGGTCTAATGGCTGAACGCGGTTTCTGGGACCTATCCGCGGGTGATCCTCATCCATATGGTGGCATTTTGTGTCATCTGGTGTTCATAGCTTGTGTGATGTCCTGGTGTGGTAAAAGAAGATAGATAGCAAAGCAAGCATGTTACCAAATAAAGAATATTCTGTGCGATCTTTCTCTGTCAATTGAGTCGAGAAAGGCAGTTACCAAGAGCAATGTAAATCATATCCTGATATACGGAAGAGAATCTTGGACAGTTTAACGATTGGTAAAGATGTATTTTGAAACATCGGAGATGTGGTTTTATAGACGAACTATGAAATATCCTGAAAACATGGAAAACAGTTATGAAGATGTCTTGAAAGAAAGTTACCCACAAAGAGAACTGTTGGCCACGTGAGAAGGAGACAGTCAACATTCGTTGTCATGTCATGAGAAAGAAAAAAAAACTGGACCACATCTTGATGTGGGAAAGTTGAAGGGAAAAGAGGCAGAGAGAAGATGCTGAACAATTTGATATAGCAGATCCAAGACCGTCCCAGATACGAGAAGGAGTCAATAAGTAAGTCACAAATTGTTACGGGATGGCAGGAAAATGTAGATGGTGGTTTCTTAAGGTGTCACTAGGTAACAGCAACATTGAACTTTATGTCTCCGTTCGTTAGGTGGCGCTAGGTGTTGCATGCGCATTCACACCCTAGAAACAAAATGGCGACTGAACCTACGGAGCGTACGCTCAAAGAACGACGTGCTGTTGTGCGTTTTTTTTTTTTTTTTGGGGGGGGGGGGGGTAAAAAAGGGCTGCTGCAAAAAACATTCGTAAGGAAATGCATCCTGTTTAAGCTAGCACATTTTTATCTCCTAAAGCCGCACATAGCTGGATTTTTTTTTAAATGTCAAGGACGCTCTAAAATTATTGATGAAGTCCAATCTGGTCGTCCTGTTGAGATTGCAACAGACGCATTCGTGCAGAGTGTGGAGGAGATGATTAGAGGTGACAAGTGAGTAACGGTTGACTCTGTAGCAGCTGCAAAAGGGTGTTCACATGGTTCAGCAGACAACATAATGTATGATCGATTAAAATTTAAGAAAGTGTGCCCAAAATGGGTACCTAGATAATTGAACATGTGGTTTAGAAAACAGAGCATGTAGTTCTATGCAGCAGGTTTAAGATGACTGATAAAATGATGGGACACCTGCATCCATGTTGGTGGAAATTATTTCGAAAAATAAAGGGACAACGTATGTATAAAAATAAACGATTTTTATCGTCTATAGTTTATTTGTTTTTCAACCAAACCATTTATGACCTTATTTTTGAGTTCCCCTCGTACAATATTTTGGCCAAAACTTTAAGCCAAGAGAGACACTGCTGGAAGCCAAACTTTACGGGCCGCTAAGTAAATTACAAAAGACAGTAAAGTTCATACTAGAGATAACATTGCGGATATAAATAATTTATTTCAATGGAATGAAAGGAGAAGAAAAATTGACTGAGAATACACGAGACAGAAGGTTGTGAATAAATATGGACATGACTACCAACGCTACACGGAATTGACTATGAGAAGAACAAGTTGTGGCACGTTTAGTTTCGCATTTTTGAACTCCAAATGATGAAGAAACTATTGTATCACATTTGGTTTCTAATTTATCAAATCCAAATGATGAAGAAACTGATTAACCTCGTTTCGGTAACAATTTAGGAAATTCACACAATGATGGAACTACTTCTTCTTTTTTCGTTAGCCCGAAATTTATATCTAAAATATTGCCTCTAGTATGAAATCGTAATGCCGGGGTGATGTATTA